GGCACGATCTTGGCTCACTACAACCTCCGCCTCCCAGGTTCAAGCAATTCTCCTGCCTCAGCCTCTCGAGTAGCTGAGATTACAGGCATGTGCCACCACACCCAGCTAATTTTGTATTTTTAGTAGAGATAGGGTTTCTCCATGTTGGTCAGTCTGGTCTCAAACTCTGGACCTCTGGTGATCTGCCTGCCTTGGCCTCCTGAAGTGCTGGGATTACAGGCATGAGCCACTGTGCCCAGCATGAACTCTGATACCCGAATGCTCAGGGAGACTGATGTGAGGAATAATACAACTCCGGTCTTCCGCACAGCTGACTCTGTGTGAATTACTCTTTCTCCACTGCAATTCTCATCTTGATAAATTGACTCTGTCTAGGCAGGGCAAGGTGACCCCCATTGGGTGGTTACATGACCTGCAGTCAAACAAAGCAAGTCAGATAATTTCTCTATGGCCAGTTTTTACAAATAAAAACAGAGGGAAAATTAGAGTAATATTTTTAGGTTTTTTGGCTGTCATTGGGGAAAGGGGGTTCTGGTTTCTATGAACTGCCTTGGGGAAGAGGGATTCTAATTTCTATGGCCCACCTTGGGGCAGAATGGAGCTGATAGACAGGAGAGCAGGAGAAGACCAGACAAAATCTTTTGATTCTGAGGCCTTCATTTGTCTTCTGAGCCTCAATAATACCAGGCACTGAAGTAGAAGCTGGTGATATAGAGAAAAACAAGCACATTCACTCTTGGGAAATATTTCAGAGTGAGGCAAGTGAAATCAGTTAAACTAATCATTACCCAACTTGTGTGTGCCCGAAGTGTGCAGAAAAGAAAGAAATTAGCTCTGTTTGTCTTGCCCTGAGCTTCATAGACCTTCTTGTTCTCCGAAAAACTATGTCCTCTTAAGGAAAGCCAACCCAGAACTTGAAATTACTTTCCTCATGTGACCGTAAGCTTTTGTGCTTTTGTACCAACTTTCGTTCCAGCCACTCACTTCTTACCTTCACATGAACTATTGTTTGCTGTCTACTCCCTCTGCTGTCAGTATGAACTCACTTTTCTGAGCAATAATCTGTACTGTATGCCTTTTGGAAAAGAACAAAGCAGGTTGTTTGGAGATGGTGTTTCTCTTGTTCCCAAATAGACCCTTATATGGTCAATCTCTGTTGGCTCTTCTGATCAGGTTAAAAGAACACTGTCCTTTCTGGAGCATGTTTGTTCTTTGCCCCTTTACTTGAGTTACATATCCATGATATAAGAACACTGATCCTTTGATATTCAGCTAACAAAAATTTATTGGGCATCTGTTATGTGCCTAGACTAGTTTTAAGTGCTAGGTATACAGCAGCCAATCGTGATGATTATGACAATTATAACAAAAGAGACAAAGACCTTGTCTTCCTAGAGCTTATATGAGAGTGGAAGAGGCAGACAATAGTCAAACATAAATCTATGATATAGTTTTAGATACTAACAAGTTCTATGAAGAAACATTAAATAGGATAAACAAACGATGCTTAGGTAGAGATATCAGAGAGGTGTCTTTGAACAGGTGACACTTGAGCGGAAACCTGAATAAAGTCAGGGAGTAAAGTATGACTTTCTGAGAGAATAGCATAGCTGTGAGTAGTTGTGGTGGAGAGAGAATCTAGAAAAGAGAGGAAAATATTTGATTCTTCTATTTTATCTTCCTGGTGAACTTTAGGTCTTTGGTACAACTGTGGTTTGAGAATGGACTTCATGGGGACCTGCTTTTTACCTGGTTACACCTGATGAGTTGATTGGGTTGAGTGACCCTAGAAGACCAGGGGAAATTTGATATGAGGTCTTTGTGTATAAGTGAAGTTGTCATTCCAGCAGCCCTGCAGAGCTCGGAAGCTCAGAATTTGAACCTGGGTAATAAATCAGCTGAGTTAAAATGATAGATATCACAGATCTCCATTTTACTTGGTAAGTAGCTGCCAAGACTGAGGCAAATTTTAGAGGTGATAAAAATGTACTGTGTAAAGGTGGCTTCCCATAATAGGTAATGGTACATTACATTTTTCCTCTCTTTTTTTTTTTACCATAGATTTTTCTGATTTGAAAGTTAAGGGAAATGTTAAGTGCCTTTCCTATACCAGGCATTTTACACGTGTGTCTCATTTAATCCTCATAGTAGCCTCAAAAGATGGAAATTATATTTCATTTTGCAAAATGAGGAAAGAAAGCTCAGAGAGGTTAAGTAACTTGTCCAAGATCACACAGATAGTAAGCAGCAGAACCAACATTAAAACCCAAGTCACTGTAACTTCAAAGCCTATGAGTTCCTGCTTATACAACAGAGCTTTTCTCAGGCAAGGAGTTTTAGCTGTCTTAGGCAGTAGGACATTTTCCTCTGAACTTAAAACTAAAAAATATCTTTCAAAGGAGGTTCCTCAAATCTTTGTATTGTGTTGTGGGTTGAAGCAGAGGGAATTAGGAGTGTTTGATAGGCAGCTATTTCCTAAGTTGATCTTGAGGGAAGTTGATGACATCGAAGAGAAGTGCCAATCGAATAATAATTCTCACGCCACAGAGATGTCCTCTTTTGAAAGATAAAGGCTGACCCTGTTTGACGATATCTCTCACATGATGTTTTTAGCATCTCCTCATCCCAACTCTGCATCTGTTGAACTTGAATGAGGAGCCAGAGAGATCAGATTGAGGATATTATGTCTCAGGATAATTACCATAGTTTAGCTTGACTACTGGCAGAATCTGGATTTGAGTGCACAATTTAAATACAAATATGTTTTAAGCATCTCCCATAATTACTAATTGCAAAATTGTTTCTTATATTTCCATCAATGAGTGGTGTCATTTCCCCAACAGTGGTTTAAACTAGAAACCGTGGTGGTGTCCTAGATTTCCTCATTTTCTGAATCCTTGCATACTAGATTCCAAATCCTGTCAAGTCCTGTTTCTTAGATCCAGAGTCTGCTATGGTGTAGTTAATGTGAGTCCAGAGTTCAGACCACAAACTAGCTACTTACTAGTATGAACCTTTGTGCATTCATTACCGTATCTTTAAAGAATACTGTAGTAGTTTCCAATGACTGCTGTAAGAAATTACCCCAACCCTGGTGGCTTAAAACAATACAATTTCGATGAATAACATCTAGTATTTGAGAGCACCAAAGGGTGACTACAGTCAACAATAATTTATTGTACATTTAAAAATAACTAAAAGAGCCACATGTGGTGGCTTTTGCCTGTAATCCCAGCACTTTGGGAGACCAAGGTGGGTGGATCACCTGAGGTCAGGAGTTCGAGACCAGCCTGATCAACATGGTGAAATCCAGTCTCTACTAAAAACACAAACATTCAACAGGTATGGTGGCAGGTACCTGTAATCTCAGCTACTCAGGAGGCTGAGGCAGGAGAATCACTTGAACCTGGGAGGTGGAGATTGTAGTGAGCCAAGATCACACCATTGCACTCCAGTCTGGGCAACAGAGCAAGATTCCATCTCAAAAATAAAACAAAACAAAACAAAACTAAATGAGTGTAATTGGAATGTTTGTAATACAAAGAAATGATAAATGCTTGAGGTGATGAATACCCCATTTACGCTGATGTGATGATTACACATTGTATGCTTGTATTGGTCTCATGTATCCTATAAATACACATACTCACTATGTACCCCTAAAAATTAAAAATGAAAAAACCCACAAATTTATTATCTAATGATTTTAGAGGTCAGAATCATTGGGCTTACTCCTGAGTCTCATTGGGTTATCAGAGGGAATGCTATTATCATCACTATAATACAGGCTGCCTGTATTCCATGGTTCATGGCCCCTTTCTGTCCTTAAAGCTAGCAGTGGCTGGTTGAGCCTTTCTCACATGGCATCACATGAGTACAGACTCTTCTTTGGCTTCCCTCTTTCACTGTAAGGAGCCTTATGGTTTCATTGGGCCTACCTGGGTAATCCAGGATACTCTCCATAGCTTAAAATCAGATGGCAATGTTAGGAATAATAAATTCCTCTTCAAAAAGTTTAATTGTGTAACATTCTTATCCTTTGCTCAGAAGTCCAACCTCCTTATACACTCTTGCTTCCAGCCTGAAAACCACCCTTCTGCTCTAGTTACGCCCTAACATGCCCAGACATGTCCAGACATGCCTTGTACCATAATTGGACAGATGACTCCCATCCCCTCCTTCTCTTACAAATTGTGTGCTAACCATATTTAGAAAAGTTTAAGCCTTAGCCAACTGGGATCAGCTTAGATTGTGTGGTCCAACCCTAGCCAATAGGAGAAGGACACAGGGACAGGAACTGCGTTAGGGATAAAAATCTCTTCTCTCCTTTGTTTATTGTGCTCTCGTGATTGTGACTGATGCAGGCAGCACCCTTCTGCAGAAGTAAATTGCTTTGCTGAGAAAACTTTTTGCCTGAGTGCTAGTTCTTTGTGGCACCCAAGCATTTGTTTCCAACAACAAGTAAACTTCATTTCCTACACAACTTTAATTCCCTTTTGCATGTCTATAGTTTCCAGGGATTAGGACATAAGCATCTTTGGGGGACATTATTCTGTCTACCATAGGTATCTATCTCACAGGGCAATTGAGAGGATTCAGTGAGTTTTAGCCTATAAAGTACTTTGCACAATGCTTAGCATGATGTAAATACTCAATAAATGTCCTTATTGGTGTATTAGCTTATGTCTTCAGTCTCTCCCTTATTACCCTTCATACTGAACTCAGAGTTATATTTCAGGAGACCAATTTCATCCCATTATCTCTATCTTTAGTTCTTACTCTGAATTCTCTTCTAGTTTTCCTGCTATCCTGTGTTTTCTATATATTGATTTTCTATTCTCTCTCTCTCTCCTTTCTTTCTTTTTTTTTTTTCATCAAACAATAACTTATTTATTCATTTCATTAGAGAACTAGGTAAACATCACATAACATGACCAAGGACAAAATAATTTTGCACAGTTAGAATGTGTTCAAGAAACCAGCTACAATTTAACTGGATTAGATTTCAACAAGGATACGACTGTGTTCCTCCAAATAACCTTCATTTAGGAAGATGACATTCCTCCAATATGTGGAAAGACAATAAATGCACTTTTTCTCTCTGTCACTGAGGAAGAAATTCTCCCTCTTGAGGGACCAACATTACTTCTTTTTTGCTGCTCTTTTCCCTTCTCCTTTCTTTGGTTTCCCCTTTCCACGAAGGTTCTTTAGTCGTTTTTGCTCATCCATAAAATCCTGATGCTCATCTCTGTAGAGTCCCAGAAGTCGGAGTGTCCGCACGAGTCCAGAGTAAATGTGGTGATCTGGATACCAATCGTAAGTCTCCTTCTTCTTGGCCAAGGGCAGTTCACTGAACAGTTTCACCACTTTCATAGACTTGGAATCAGTAGGCCTGGCGACTTCACCAAATAGCCGAGCACTGAGACGAGACATGCGCAAGGCATATTCTGAAAGGGAGAACATTTCTTGAGTGGCAAGGAGTTAGAGTTCCTGAACCTGACCTTCCTCACCCCTGCGTCCTTGTCCCCTCCTTTCTTTTTTTTAAAAAGAGTATCACTCTGTCACCCAGGCTGGAATACAGTGGTGAGATCTTTGTTCACTGCAACCTCTGCCTCTGTCTCCTGGGTTCATGCAATTCTCCTGCCTCAGCCTCCTGAGTAGCTGGGACTACAGGTCCACTCCACTGCTCCCAGCTTATTGTTGTATTTTTCTAGAGACAGGGTTTCACCATATTGGCCTGGCTGGTCTCAAACATCCTGACCTCAAGTGTTTGGCCCACCTCAGCCTCCCAAAGTGTTGGGACTACAGGTGTGAGCCACTGCACCTGGCCTCAACTTACTATTTTCTAATTGTTAACTTACCTGTCTTGCAGTTAGGTGATGGTATCAAAGTGTGATCATGAACCAGCAACATGGGCATCACTTGGAAGGCTGTTAGAAATGCAAAATCCAAGCCCCTGCACCCCACAGCCAACCCCACTCTCACATCAAATGAATCAAAATTTGAATTTTAATAAGATCTCCAGGTTAAAATGTATATTAAAATAATAAATTATACCAGGCACTTGCGTTAGAACCAAGAAGCACAGAAATAACAGGCATGGTTTTCTGCAGCTCCTTGAATGCATTCTGCTCTTGTATTTCTTCACTTCTTTGTATAGCCTACGTGATAGTCATCTTGGAATGGTTTAAAGGTGCAAGCTTGAGCTCCTACAAAATTACACAGGGGCATCATGTAGTTCAGACAGGCAAGGATTTTTAAATCTGTTTTGCTTACAAGTGTGTCTTAACACCTGGGATACTGCCTGACACAGAGCAGATGCTTCGTAAATATTGTTGAATGAGTGAATCCATGTGTTTTTTTTCTCCCCTAGCAGAAAATTTCACCCACAAGGGGGACCCATTTTCAGCTCAAATCCATTCAAGAAAGTATTTCTTTCACCAAAAAGCCACAAGATATGTCATGTTTTTCTCCTGTTTCACCACAGGAGACTGCTAATCACTAAGAACAAGCAGGCTCTGGAAAGTAAATGTTTAAATATGAAACGGGGAGAGAAAGCTGGGGGACTTTGTCACTGAAGAGAGAAGCCATCTGTGGGCCAACAATGCACATAGTAAGTGGGAGAATTCTTCATGGCAAAACTATTGGCGAAGTCTCTGTTATGAAAGTGCCCCTAGAGTATATGTTGAAACAGGCACTGAAAGTACAGGTTCTGGTCCAAGAAAACAGGGCAGATTGTATTGGGATAAAAACAGCAGAAGACTCAATAGAGTGGATCAGCAGATTGTAAACAGTGAAAGAAGATTTGAAATCTGTTATAACAGTCCCAGTGGCTAAGGACATTTACCAGTTCCTTGGTGATGAGAAACTAGAAATAAATGCCAAACCCATCTCAGTAGATATGGAGCTGTGTACATGCTACTGGAGCTGTGCAGTAAACTCCACGTGATTTTCACGCCACAGTCGCTCTTGTTGTTGTTGTTTGGTTTTTTGAGACAGAAGTGATCTGCCCACCTTGGCCTCCCAAAGTGCTGGGATTATAGGCATGAGCCACGGTGCCTGGCCTCATAGTCACTCTTAAGGAATTGTTTGCTGCTGTCATCAAGCTCTGAATTAAACTGTACCTACAAGTATCGGCCTGGGTGAACCCAGGTGACAGATGCTCAATGCTGAGATATAAGATAGCTCCCTCTCCTCCCGGGTTTAATGACGTTTGTTTTTCTCTAAGAATGTACTTACAATATGTCTGCATGTCTGTTCTCTGCCTAGAAAACACTGTGTCTTGACTCTCAGCTCTAAGTTCACTTTTATAGCTTCTTTTACAGCCAGAATGAATGTCACCCTTTCCCAAGTCTTTCCTGAGTCTCCCAAAAAGTTATTTTGACACTATCTCCTCCATCCCATAGCCTTTGTACACACCTCTCTTAAAATACGGTTACTTATTTACCTGCTCTTCTCTCTAGAGAAACTGCCAATTACTAGGGCTATAGGCTGCATCTGATTCTCCTTTAATCTCCCCTCCCCCCGACTCCCAGAGATCACCAGCATGCAGTAGGCTCCTGTAAAGCTTGTAGACCTTGGTCTCATCATCAGGGCAGGCAGCAAAGCCTCATCAGTTCTTGGAACATCTTAGTTAAGGGACAGTTGACTTGCTGTGGGCAAATATCTGGCCTTAATTATTTAGCAGGGTAAATAGACTGTGATTGTGTCTGGTTGGCAGGTGCCATCTTTTTTACAGGGGAAATCGATTTGCTGATATATCAGTTAGTTAGAAAAAAGAGAATGTTATAGATAATGCTTACACATGGTGACCTAGTTGCCAACTGCATTGTATAAGCTAACAGTATCATAACACTTTGACTTAGAAAACTTATTATCATTATTATTATTAAGAAGTCATTTGAATTTTTATTGCCGGAAGGACTTCATCTAGAATAAAGGCCCAACTGAAATGAAACAAAATTCTACCTTTGGAAAGCTATTCAGCTCAATCATTTTCAAGACATGCCAATGGCAAACTACAACTGGAGCTAAGAATATATGTCTCCTCCCTGTTTTTTTCCTCCTTCTTTCTTTCTCTCCCTTCTCCCTCCCTCCCTCTGTTCTTTCCTTCCTCCCTTTTTTCTTTCCCTCTTTTTTTTCCTTCCCTTTCCTCAAGTATTTGTTGAGCACTTACATTTTGACAGGTCTTTTTTAGGCATAAGGGATACAAAGTGAGGGAGCCATAACCCCCTGATTCCCAGTTGCTTTTTTTCTAGGGCTTTTCATTTGGAAAAAAGGGGAGAGAAAAGAGAGACTTTGTTTGTTTGTTTATTTGTTTTTTAACCACTAGAAAAAAACACAGAGCTTTATTATTCTCAGCATCAGCGGCTCTGTAGGACAGGGGAGTGAGTTCTGTTGACTGACAGGGATAGGTGGCTCCTACTTGCCAGCGATAAGCGGGTTCCGCAGGACCACGATGACTGAGTCCCCACGCAGGAACATCTTGGAGATGTAGCGGTCTTTGTTGACTGGCTTGGACTTCTTCTTGCCCTTGCCGCTCTTGGGTACCTCAGTCCACATCTCCTTCACGTTCTCCAGCACCATGTTGCAGTGCCTATCGAAGGCCTTCACGTCGCCCAGGAGTTTCTTATTGTTGCAGCAGTTGATGAGCACTTGGGTGTTGTTTTTGATGGACTGAGTGAGCACAGAGAGTGGACCCGTGTTAAATTCCTCCTCCTGGCCGGGCGCGGTGGCTCAAGCCTGTAATCCCAGCACTTTGGGAGGCCGAGACGGGTGGATCACGAAGTCAAGAGATCGAGACCATCCTGGTCAACATGGTGAAACCCCGTCTCTACTAAAAATACAAAAAATTAGCTGGGCATGGTGGCGCGTGCCTGTAATCCCAGCTACTCGGGAGGCTGAGGCAGGAGAATTGCCTGAACCCAGGAGGCGGAGGTTGCGGTGAGCCGAGATCACGCCATTGCACTCCAGCCTGGGTAACAAGAGCGAAACTCCGTCTCAAAAAAAAAAAAAAAAAAAAAAAATTTCTCCTCCTCTGGCCTCTGCAGCTCCTCCAGGGTCATCTCACTCTAGGGCTTGTTGAGGAGGTTCATGCTGGTCGCTAAGCTCTCGGTTCACTCTGGTTTCCTCCGCGTTGCTGCTGCCTGAGGAGAAAGCAAGAGACTTTGAAATTTTTAAAAATGAATGAAGAGCAAGAGTTGGCACCTAGTGATTAGCTTTGCCTTAGTTGGGACAGAAAGCACTAAAAGGGTAAAAGGTCCCATCAGATAGTAAAATTCATTATTTAATTACCATAAATCTAGATTGTATGAATTGCTCTTACTATATTCATATTGTAAAGAAGCTTGGAGCCAACACTGGCTCCCCTTTCCCCAGCTTCTGCCTGTTTCGCTGTCTTCCCTCCCCTCCCCCATCTGTGGTGTGGCGGTGCTGCCTTGGAGGGCTGGGGGAAGGAGCCTGTGGAGGAGAGGAGGAGGGTGGAGACTGAGGCTAGGTGCCAGAATGGACTGGAGCGAAGGCGTGTCTAGAGTGTGGGCAAACTGGTGCTGGGAAGCTGGGGACAGCTTTTTTTCTTTCTTTCTTTCTTTTTTTTTTTTTTTGTGTGAGCGCTCTCACCTTTATTTCTCTCCGTATACCCGTGATACAGATATTTCATACATAACAAGGTCAAGGACAAATGCACGTTCTAAATAAAACAGAGGCAGAACCATGGCTAAAACATCTAGCCCAGCAATCAACTCATTTCCCCGAGGAGTCGGGGCGGGGTGGCGGGGGGAGTCACAGGCAGTTCACCAACACCTGGGAAGTCCTTGGCTTCATTGAGTACTATATTCATATTGTACCAAATGCATATAAGACGTGGTCCCTGTCCTTGGGAACTTCATCACTAGAGTTCTATCTTGTTTTTTTTTCTTTCTTTCTTTCTTTTTTTTTTTAAAGAGACAGGTTTTCACCATGTTGGTCAGGCTGTCTCGAGCTTTGAACCTCAGGTGATCCACCACCTTGGCCTCCCAAAGTGCTGGGATTACAGGCGTGAGCCACTGCGCCTGGCCCTAGAGTTCTATCTTTTATGGAAATCTAAGTTCTTTGTCAACATGATGAAAGGCTAGCATTTTGATGTCTATGGAAATGCTGGAGGACACATGGTTCTAAGGGTTTGTCTCACTGGTCTAGATCAGTCATTCCCAACATGCCATCCCCATACTTGCAGCATTATTGTCACTTGGGAATTTGGTAAAAAGGCAAATTATTAGGCCCAAGTCAGAGCTACTGAATCTGAAACTCTGGGGTAGGGTGGGGCAGCAACCTATGCTTTCACAGGTTTTCTCTCTGCGATTCTGATTCGTGCCCAAGTATGACTGAGAACAACTGCTCCAGTCTTGACCCTTGATACGCACAGTGTGGTCTCTGGACCAGCAGCAGTCTCTGGGAGCTTGTTAGAAATGAAAAGTCTCAGGGCCGGGCGCGGTGGCTCACGCCTATAATCCCAGCACTTTGGGAGGACGAGGCCGGTGGATCACGAGGTCAAGAGATAGAGACCATCCTGGTAAACAAGGTGAAACCCTGTCTCTACTAAAAATGCAAAAATTAGCTGGGCATGGTGACGCACGCCTGTAATCCCAGCTACTCAGGAGGCTGAGGCAGGAGAATTACCTGAACCCAGAAGGCAGAGGTTGCGGTGAGCCGAGATCCTGCCGTTGCACTCCAGTCTGGGTAACAAGAACGAAACTCTGTCTCAAAAAAAAGAAAAGAAAAGAAATGTAAAGTCTTAGGCCTCAGTCCAAACCTACTAAATCAGTGTTTGCACTTTACCAAGATTCCCATGTGATTTGTAAGCACAATGTATTTTGTGAAGCACTGCTCCAGACTAAATTATACCTTGAAGAGTATTGAGCCAGAGCCAGTCTACGACTCCTCCCATCTCAATCATCAAGGCACTGAAGTAGAAGTAAGGTAACAGGTTGTTCCTTCCACTTCCCTCAGCATTTGTGTGACACTATGTTGAACTGGCAATGTTGCAAATTTGGACAACACTGCAGTTTCTGCAGAGAAGACTCTGTTCTTGTCCATGAAGACTGGGGGTGGGACCACATGAAACGTAATCAATTTGCTAGTACCAACAGACTGCTATTAAAATCATTTCAGCATCTGGAGGGTTCCGTTTTTTAAGATACAATTAGGTTTTCTTTTTGGATGAGGGGTAATAAAATTTTCAGTGTGAACGGGTCAAACAGATTTATAAAATAATGAGTAACAGGAGAAATTTGGAACTTCTCAGCCTGGTATTACTTTGGTATCAGAAAGGGCCAGTTTAGTTAAAGTGATTAATACAAGATATTGCAATTCTTCCCTAATGGGTTGGTAAATAGCTGCTGTCCCCATGCCATCCCAGCTGCCTAGCTCTTCCTTTGGACTCTCGCTAGAGCTCCACATGACCCAGCAGTCTGCAACCAAGGTGTTCTTGCCTGGCACATCAGGAGTCCCCAGGACCTTAAATAATGTGGTTTGCATCTCTTCTGGTTTGTTAGTGCTCTCAGCCCACCAGTTAGATATAGATATAGAACTATTTTTGGAGAGACAGGGAGTTTCTATGTTGTCCAGGCTGGTCTCAAACTCTTGGGCTCAAGTGATTCTCGTGCATCCTAAAATGCTGGAATTACAGGTGTGAGCCACCAGAGGAAAGACACCTTTAGGTAGGCAAGAGGGTGAGGTTAATTGAGGGTTGAGAGGGGGTAGAATTGCAGGTAGAGAGAGGAGAATTAGCAGAGGAATAGGGTTGTGTCCAGAGTGTGTGAGTGTGTGTATGTGTGTGTGTGTGAGATATGTATGTAGGGTGCGTGTGGTGTGTGTGTAGTGTATGTGTGGTGTATACCTGTGTGATATGTGTTTGTGTGTGTGAGTAGGTGTGGTATCTGTGGTGTGTATGTGTGTGTGATATGTGTTGGTGTATATGGCATACGTGGTGTGTGTGTGGTGTGTGTATATAATGTGTATGTATGTAGAGTATATGCGGTATGTATGGGAGTGTGTGCGTGGTGTGTGTGTGGTATGTGTGAGTGGTGTGATATGTATGTGTATTGTGTGTGTGTGTGTGATATGTATGTAGGGTGTTTGTGGTGTGTATGTAGTATATGTGTGGTGTATACCTGTGTGGTATGTGTTTGTGTGTGTGTGAGTAGGTGTGGTATCTGTGGATATGTTGGTGTGTGTGGCATACGTGGTGTGTGTGTGGTGTGTGTATATGTTGTGTATGTATGTAGAGTATATGCGGTATGTATGGGAGTGTGTGCGTGGTGTGTGTGTGGTATGTGTGAGTGGGTGTGATATGTATGTGTATTGTGTGTGTGTGTGTGATATGTATGTAGGGTGTTTGTGGTGTATATGTAGTATATGTGTGGTGTATACCTGTGTGGTATGTGTTTGTCTGTGAGTAGGTGTGGTATCTGTGGATGTGTTGGTGTGTGTGGCATACGTGGTGTGTGTGTGGTGTGTGTATATGATGTGTATGTATGTAGAGTATATGCAGTATGTATGGGAGTGTGTGTGTGGTGTGTGTGTGGTATGTGTGAGTGGGTGTGATATGTATGTGGATTGTATGTGTGTGTGAAGGCGGTTGAGCAGATAAGAAGGGGACAAAATTCTGGGGATAGGGCAAGGGGTGGTGAGTGTCCTGTGCAGTCAGGGGTTTGGACTTCATCTTGTAGGCCACTGGAGAGCAGTAACAGGTTTCTTTAGGGAAGGTCACCCTGCCAGCAGTGGGAAGGATAGTCAGTTAGGGAGTCCTTGTGGTAATATTAGGGCTGGTGATAAACCACCTCACACTGTCTCTCCAGAAAAATGTCTGTGCTCTTGGGGCCTTGACAAGCAGACCAATACCTGTGATATGATCCTCCAAATGCAAACTTTTCAGACTTGGTGGGCGTACAATCTTCTTGTTGAAATGCAATTATGATTCCATAGGTCTGGGTGGGGTCTGAGTTTCTGTAGTTCTAATGAGTTCTGGGTGACACCAATGCTGTTGGTCTACAGGCACGCTTTGGAAAGGAAGGCTTCACCCTGTTTGCACACTAGAATAACCTGGATTATAAAGAAATATTGAAGTCTGGTGCCACCCAGAGATTCTGATGCAAGAGGTGTAGGCATAGGGTGTGGGCGGGGCACTGAGAATTTAAAAAGTGCCCAGATGAGGGATCAGTTTTGTTTTGTTTGGTTGTTTTATTTTAAATTTTTAAATCCCTTCTTGATTAAAAAAAAATAATAAATTAATGGAAAAATAAAATTGAGAAAAAAGACTTGCAAATATAAGCCACAATTTAAAAAAATTATTGTTAGATTCAACAGATGTGAAATGACTGTGTCAAGTTGCTATTCAGGTTCTGTTTGCTGACTCCATTTCTGTGCTTTTCTTGTTAGTGGCCAGTAACAAAGAGTAGAACTACAGCAGTCTTTGGACTACACTCTGAACAGCACTGCAGCACACTCATATCTGAAACCACCAGCCATGCAAGGAGGGCAGAGAATGGGGGATTCATTGTCCCAGGAGGGAAGGAGCAATTGCTTTACCCTGGGATGGCTACTGGTGGCTAGGATGGACCTGATGGAATGAGGTTTCTTGCTCATTGTGCTTCCAGATTCTATGGCACCTGGTGAGATCTCAGGGCTCTTTAATAATTCCCTGGTGGGGCCCGGCACACTGGCTCTGG